AACTCAAATAACTATAAACGTTTTAATGTAAATTTATAATAAAAAGTTTGTTATGTTTTTAATTGTTATCTTATTGTTAATTTTAGTTCAATATTATTTAGTAAAAAAAAAAATATATATATATTTTAATTATTTCTGAAATTTGTTTTGAATAATTATTGTTTATTAATTGTTATTGAATAAAAAATAATGATTTTTTTTTATTTTTAAAAATTTCTTGAGTAAACAAAAAATATTAACATTGATAAACAAAAACCTATGTTAATTATTTAAACAGCGATTTGGTTTGACTAGCAAAGAATAATTTAGGAAAGAATATTTTTTTAAATTTATCTTGCTTAGCGTTTCAACTTGCGTTATATAAAAATATAAAAACATTTTGTCTGTTTTTAGCATATTTTTGATTCATAGTTTAGAACGTGTTTGCCAGGAATTTAATTCATAAATTTTTTATGTTATTGTAAAAATGTTTTACATTTTAAACAAATCAAAAAGAAACAGAGCTATAAAGAAATATCGTTTTTAACGATTAAATCTTTTTTTTTTAAATTTTAGGAAATTAAAAAAAAATTAAGTTAAATATAAAAGTCTTAATTATGCAAACTCTTTTGTTAAATATTCTTAAAACAAAAAACAAATACTTCTCCGCAAAACTTTAATCGTGCAAACTTAAAAAAATACTCAACTAAAATAATATAAGTATATTTAATAATTTGAATCGTATCTGTTTATAATAAACGTTCGTAAAAATTTGTTTATTAAAAATTAAGTTCCTTAACTTATAAACAAACTCAAAAGTATTTTCATTCTACGTATAATTACAAAAAAAAAAACTTTTTTTTCTTCGTTTGTAAGCAATTCAGCTTAATAAAATAAAAAAAGAATAAATATGAGGTAATCTTTGTTAAGAACAAATTTGATTTATTTATTAAACTATATTTTTATTTTTATTTATATATCAACTTAAATTAAATATAGTAACATGTTAAAATATTTTAACATGAGTTGTGTTATTTATAAACCGTAGGGCAGCTGCCTTAACGGCACAATTGTTTTAGGATTATATTTTATTTTGATGAAGATCACATAACTTACATTTGATTTTAATAACGTAAGTCTTCTCTTTTTCTGTGATCATTGTATCGGCAAAGCATCGGCAAAGTCCCAAGATTTAAAAGTTTTTAAAGGAAATCTTTTGTCCTTCAAAATACAATCCATATTTGAACTTTAAACAATTTAGAGAGAATAGAAATATAAAAGGTTTTTATATACTAGTTTGTCTTGTTTTATAAATAAAAATACATATTCATTAATAAAAAATAGAGACTGTCATTAAACTAAAACGTGCCTTAGTATTTATTTAACAGATTCTGTAATGTGCGCGTGCATAATGAAACCTCCATTATATAAATATATTCAAATATAACTAATATTACATTAGTGTCATCAGCGGATGTTATAGTCTACTCAGGATTTCTTTACCTTATAATATAACTTGATCTATGAAAAAAATTTATTGAATCGCATGCAAAAGAAATTTAACCAATTGTCTTCATTCAAAAATTGCGAGTAACAGGTAATTTTTTTTTTCTGTGCTGGCCCCCTCCCCTTGCATAACTTAAAAGCGAAGGTATCTATATACCTTTAACTAATAAGAAAAGCAAAGAGTAATAATTCATAAAGTAATTTTTAGAAAAATACAAATAGATTGTTCATTCATTGGCACATTTTTTTTAATATCTTGAAAAATTGTCTTGATATTTTTGTTATCATGATAACAAAAATATTAAGACGTTTTTTGATATATTAAAAAAATGTCAAATGTTTTTTATTATGAATTTAGTAAAAAACTCTTTAAAAATTTATATCGCAAAAAACATTTATATTCTGTATTAATAAGTTTGAAATATAGATTTTTTAAAAGTTTTTTATTGAAAACTTTAAAAAGTTACTACTTTTTATTAAAAACATTTGCAAAAAATTTGTAGTTAAGGATTGACGAACAATTTTTCATGTTACTAAATATTTGAATAAAAAGTTAAGCGTAAAATTAAATGTTATAAAAACGTATATGTCGCGATAAAAAATTGCTTTAATTATTTTTAACGTAATTTTTTTTCTCTCATAAATATTTTTACATATCATTATTCAAAAGTTAATGTGGTTTTTTTAAAAATTAATTACTTCTTTTATGTTACCGCTAATTTAAAAATTAAAAAATGATAAAAAGTAGCTTAACCAAAACAGCTCTACGCGTACGTAAAAATCGCTCAAGGCGTACGTAAATCGCTCTAGGCGTAGCGCTTTAAAACAAGGCCTGATATATATATATATATATATATATATATATATATATATATATATATATATATATATATATATATATATATATATATATATATATATATTTTATTTGCATTCACTCCCAACAAGGCTGCAAGCAACCACTATTAAGTTGGGAGTTACTAGGAGTTATAGAGCAAGGAAACGGTTGACAGAAGACTTGAAAAGTTGAAGGTTGTATGAGTCAGGAAAACATGAAGATGGGAGAGAGTTCCAAAGGATTGAAGTGCAGGGAAAAAAACTTGATGAATAAAAGTTTTTAGAGCATGCAGGGACAAATACAGTAAACAAATGAGACTTAGCTGAATGACGAGTAAAACGAGAATGAATTTTAGTTGATGGAACTAGAGATGATAACTCCTTTGAGCAGTGACCATGATAGTATTTGTAGAAAAGAGAAAGAGATGCAACTTTATGACGATGGGAAAGAGGCTCAAGCTTAGCAGATAGTCCAGGTCCAACAACATTTACAATGCGTTTTTTAACCTTGTCAAGAAGAGAAAATGAATTGTTAGAAGAACCAGCCCAAATATGACAACAGTATTCCATACAGGGAAGAATAAGGATTTGTAGAGGTAGAGAATGGAATCAGAAGTAAGGAAATGGCGAGCACAATAAAGAAAGGCAACCTTAGCAGAAGCTAGTTTAGCAATTGATTGTATATATGGTTTCCATGAAAGGTCAGTAGTAAGCGATAATCCAAGAAGACGTAAAGAGGAGGACTCAGTAAGAGGATTGTCATTCATTAATATAGGAATGTTGACCATATTACGGTAGTTGTTTGCAGTAAACAACTGGGTTTTGTTAGAGTTGAAATTCACAAGCCACTGTGAACCCCAATCTATTACTGAAGTGAGATCGGATTCAAGATCAGCTGCTTGTTCGAGGCCATTGAAAAGAGAAGACTTTTTGTCAAGACAGGAGTTTAAAGTTAGGTCATCACCAAAAAGAGCTACTTTAGATGAAAGGTTGTCAGGAAGATTGTTTATGTAGGTAAGAAACAAAACAGGGCCCAGGATGAAACCTTGGGGAACCCCAGAAGTTACTGGAAATAAAGAAGAGTGTTGGCCTTCAAGGATGACTTTAATAAACCGGTTAGAAAGAAATGATTTGATCATCTCAAAAACTTTCCCAGAAACACCATGTGAAGCAAGCTTATGGAGAAGACCAGCATACCAAATTTTGTCGTAAGCTTTAGATATGTCGAGAGCAATAGCCCTAGCCTCACCGCCTCCATCTAATGCACGATAAAATCTTTCAGTTACAGCAGTTAGCAAGTCGGCCGTAGAGCGAGAGGATCGAAAACTATATTTATTGTCTGACAGTAGTACATATACACATATATATATAAATATATATACATACATATATGTATATATATATATTCACACACAAATATTTATATAAATAAATATATATACATATATATATATATATATATATATATATATATATATATATATATATATATATATATATATATATATATATACACACACCAATATATATATATATATATATATATATATATATATATATATATATATATATATATATATATATATATATATATATATATATATATATATATATATGTAAATATATATACATATATATAAATATATTTATATAAATATATATATACATAAATATAAATATAGATTTATATATATACACATATATATAAATGTATATACATATATATGTATATGTATATATATATATATATATATATATATATATATATATATATATATATATATATATATATATATATATATATATATATATATATATATATATATATATATATAAAAGAACAAGAAATTATAAATTAGTAGAAAATCACTTAACAAAATTTTTTTTTCATTTTACACTGTGTTTCATCCACAACTTATTTTTCCTAATTCTGAGGGTTTACATATATGTATGTATATATATATATTATATATATATATATATATTTATATGTTTTTATATATTACTTATATAGGCTTGAAAAAGGAACTTCAAAGCTACCAATCTGCATATAATTCACAAAGTTGTCAATCAACATATAATGTACAGGACTCAATAAACACAGAGTTTTGTAACAACATTCTCAAAAAGCTACTAACTCATTTTAAAGCAATTCAATCTAAAATGTCTTCAGAAACAATGTTTTTAGCAATGGATAATAAAGAAACAATGGATAATAAAGAAAATGAAGATAATCTGAATTATGCTGATGAATTAAATGAAATATACAATTCAATAGAAAAAATTTGCAAACATGTAATGAATGATTCAACATTACAAAAGGATTGCATTCCAGAAAATGGTAAGTTAAATAAAGTTTGCTTTTAGTAACTGCTGCTAGACGTGGTTGGCTTGGGTAGTGATTCCATAAAAGCCGCTAAGATTTGAAAAGGGTTGACAAAAAAACAAAAATATGCTAAAAAGAGTGAAAAGAGGGAAAAAATTAAAAAGACCACATTTGTTTTAAAATGTTAAGGTTTTCCCCATATAATATGAATTTTTCTGCTCTTTATGTTATTTTTTTTTGTTTGTTTTTGTTTTAGTTCAATTGCTTAAAGATGAAATAGTTAGTCTTGAAGTACAACTAAATTCTTTAAAAGTAAGTGATTGAAATGTTTGTTCAATGTATTTATGAGTTTAATATTGGTAGCTTTTCTGTAAAGCTATTTTTTTAAAGTTTTTTTTTATTTACACACCCACAATTTTTTTCTCACAAATACGCATCACAAGTTTGAATTTTAGACAATTGGAATGTAAATTAGTAGTGATGTACTGATTATTTGGCATGTGTAATGGTTTAATCACTTTTTGTTTAATTGGTATCGTTATCGACATTTTTTTATTGATTTTCTTACAGATTGCTTTTTTAAAAAAATTTAATACTACATTATGAAAATAGCTATATGTTAAATAAACCAAACTCTTTATATAATATAGGTATTTTTTTTATTTTTGAGGCAAAATTATGCAATTTAATATATATTTTTAATAACAAATCCACTTTCAAAAAGACTGCAATCAATATTATCTAAGTTGGTAGTTAACAGAAAGCGAAGAAAAAAGTTAAATAAGAAGAAAATGGTTAAGACAAGATTTTAAAAACTGTAAACTGCACAAGTAAGGAAAACATGAAGACAGGACTTCTAAAGTATTTTGTTTGAGTTAAAAAACTAGGTTTGCAAAAGTTTTTGGAACATAGTGGAACAGTTCAGTAAAGGGATGCAACTTTTTTTAAATGATGAGTCATGTGAGATTGAGATTAGGTAGAATAAGAGTTTTGTGTTAAAACAGAACCATATGATAAATGGGGCAGAAGCATATGCTAGGGAGATTCCAACTACATTTACAATGTGTTTTTAGATTATGTCTAAAAGAGAATGAGCATAATTAGCAGAACCAGCCCAGATATGACAACAGTATTCCATACAAGCATAAATAAGAGAGCAATAGAATGGAACGAGGAGTAAAAAAATAGGAACACCATGCTGTCTTAAAAAAGAAATCACATTTTAGATCAGCTACTTTTTCTAAGCAAATAAAATCTCATAACTTTTTTTAATCAGATGATTTGTCTCAATTAGACGAAATTTAGGGATAAATTTATTGGGAAGATCAATAATATAGAGACAAGATTATCTGAGTTTCATAATCCAAGGCAAGAAACAATGTAACACAGGTTTAAATCTATGCCAGCCTATTGATGAAAAAAAAAATACAAGGCTAGTTTAAAAATATTTAGGCATCAATAGCCAGCTTTCTGCTTGTCCCTAATATTTTTGCCTAGGAAGTTTTCTACAAGACTTTAGTGGATGCTAACATCTGCTGGAGACAAATATTTTTATCGTGACAATATATCTAGCCTAAACTCAACTAAGAAGCCCAAGGCAGGGTGTATTTTAAGTCAGAGTTACAATTCAGCGAGACATCTACCAGGTTAAACTTGATTACATGTTACCAGTAGCTGGGTAATCATGATGATCTTGTAACCTGTCCTGACCTGTAATATTTAGTTTTATATTATGATTATTCTTATAATTGGTTAATTAATTGTTATTGGTATCGATCTTTTTTTATAACAGCATCAATCAAAAATGTGCAATTGGTACATCACTATAAATTAGTTTAATATTGGTTGAACCAATTAAATGCAATATAGCGCTTTATCATTTTTGTGTCTTTATTTTGAAAAGTACTTGTTTGTTTTTTTATTCAGTAGATTTTATTATTTTTATGTTAAAATTTGAATTTTCTCATTTAGACAGAGATTTTAAATGTTTAACCATTAAATCTTAAAAAAAATTTATATTGTTTTTTTTTGAATACTATTAGATCTTTTGCAGAACTTTTTTCTCAAGCGTTTTTTTTTTTTTTTTTGAATAAAATAAATTTGTTTACTTTCAATATATTTATCATTTAAATCATTCATTCTTTATCACCAAACAATGGGGTTGTTTAATTGTTATTTGATTTTTTAGAATGATAGAATCAGAAGAAGTTTGATTTGGTTCACTTTTATTTGTTTACTTTATTTATTTGATCTTTTAATTTTAGTTTGACCTTTTTATAAATGAAGTTGTTTTTTTTAAAAAGTGGTTTATGGTGTATACAACATTCAGGTTTACTCACTATTCTCAGGTCTATATAGGTCTATTTTTTTTTTTTTTTGAAAAAGAGTTTGATGATTTTTAAAAATTGCCATGTTTCGGTGCCTTAATTTGATAGTAGTTAAAAAAAAAAAATGGTTTGAGTGTTTAGAACTCACTATAAAAAGAAGCTTTTTCTATTATGGTCTAAACCCGCATTTATTTCATGTTTCATTTACTTTTACAATGGTTTCACTTACCATAGTTCATTTCATTTCACTTTAAAACCTAAATTTTTATTAATTTTTTTTGTACTTTACAGCTGAGAATTATTGATGTATATATAAATTAAATATAAATGAATGTGAAACATTGTATAATTATTTTAAATTTTTTTTGCCTGGAAACATTTTATCAAAAGTTTTTATATCAATGATAATATTAAAATTTAGGAAACATCCACAAAAGAATTATCAAGGTTAAAAGAAGTAGCTAATGAGGTAAACTGTCACAAAAGTTTCATGTAATTATGTGCAATATTATTTATATTTTTAGCACATATATCTAGTTTTAGTTTAAAAAAAAGATTTTTCCAACATTGTCAAAAAAAAAATTACGGTGTTGTATGCCATGTGTTTACTTTAGTGGGCTGAGAAAGCAAAACGAAAGCAAGAAAGGTAGAATCAATTTAGTATTTTAGTTTCTTAATATTTTCTTATCTGTCAATATCTCAATTTGTAGCATATTGGCATTAGATGGTAAGTTATATAATAAACATATATATGTTATTTGTTCATAGATATATTAACAATAAAAGTTGGACAAAACAAGTGCAACCAAATAATGCTAATTTAGTTTCTTTATATAAAAGTGCTGCATTTTTTCAATTTAAAGAAATAACTATGTAACTGTTTAGAGACAACGTTCTTCAAGTTCTATTCATCATAAAGTTCAAAATTTGTACACGAAAATTAATAAATTAATCAAAAGTATGAAAAAAGTTGATTTTCTTCTGGACAAAACAAGTGCAACTCCACAAAATGTTGACCAAGCTGACAAAAACGTTGACACAAACCAGACTTAAGAAAATGAAACAAACCAAAAAAGTTGTCCAGTTTTGTCCGCTGCAAAATGGCACTTGTCAACGAAATTCTGCCTGTTTGCTGTCACCTGTCAGCTGATTGCTCATGTCATGGCATGCTATGACTCCTAAACTGTTTGCTGTGATAGTATAGTTCACTTCGTTTTTAAGACATGTAAAGTTAGGAACACTTTTTAGCATTGTTCAATGTTGGTTGCAAATGTTTTGTCCATTACTGTATGTTAAGTGTTAAGTATGTTAACTCTATCTTCCAAGCTTTAAAATTTTTCAGGTAACAATTTTCTGTACTAACAAAGAAAATGAACAACATCTGTACATAAACAAAGTAATGTACAATAATTTCTAAAAAAAAAAAAAAAATTCACATCTATATGCAAGAACCCATAAAAATAGGTTAAGGAATAATCACTTTTGATTATTAAAGATAATTCAAAATAGAATTTTAATTGTATAAGTTTTAACTCTTACTTTTGATAATCTAAAAATTTTCAAAGGTAAGAGTTAAAACTATTTGTGTTATAACATGATAACAATATTTAAGTTATAATATCATTGTAATAATATTTAAATACTAGTAAATGCTTTCAGTGTAAAAATCAACTTTTGATTATCTTTTTACCAGTTATTAAAAGTCATTTTCAATTTTTAATCAATTTACTTATTTTAAATAGAAGCCATATAGACCATATTCGCTAAGTTCATTTTAGCTCAGGTGGTTTTATGTAAATTTTAGATTGCACACTATTCCTGTCAGGCTTGGTAAGGAATGGTATGCAATCGCAAGCTGTATCTGACCGTGCTAATAACTTTTTTTTTTACAATTTGACCACGGCTGTTTTGATGTTTTAGCAATTTAAATGCAATTTTAAAAAATTGTTGCGTTATGAATAACTTTTAATTGTTAATCTTTTCTAAAGTTTTTATTTTAAGCAAAGGCTTTAAATAAAATAGAAAATTAATTATAATAGTTGTTTGAAATAAATGCTATTTGTGTAAATTAACAAAATATTTTATATTTAAATTTTTTTTATGCAGGCATGTTTTTTTTTATGACAAATTTAAACAATTGAAACTATTTTTCGATGCCCTTCTTTTAAAAATCATTTATAAGATTTTTTTTTAAGTTGTGTAAAATTGTGTAAAAGTTTTTTTTAAAACTTGACTTACTAATCAGAGCATGAAATAATTAAAAAATACTATTTTAAAGAGATGTTATTTTTTAAACAATTTTTTTCAATTTTTTGAAAAAAATGTTTTTACAATTTAAAAATATTATACTTTTGTCTTTTCAATAATTTAAATAAAATTAGTTCATTTATTAAATTATCATTAAGTATAATTTGTAAAAATGCTTTGCGTATCTTTAATAAAATGTTTCAAAAGATAATTTTTAAAATAATTTATTTCAAACGCAATTCAAAATGTAACTAAAAATAATTTTCGCTTTGAGTTTTAGTTTTTTAAGTTTTATTTTGAAACTTATATATTTTTTATATATTTTTTATTTGATTTTTTTACTAGTTTAAGTTTAGCGTAGCGTTTCTTTTTTCAGCACATTTCTGAAATGTTTAATCATCAAAAAATCTAAACAGTCATGGTCAAGTTGTCAACAAAAAAAAAACATTTGGGTGGTCAGCAGTAGTGTTCGATCGCACGCCATTTCTGTCCAAGCCTGTTATGTTTTTTTTTATTCACTTACACATGTAAAATAAAAATTGACAAAATGATTATTTTTGAAATTCAACACAAAAATGTCAAATAAAGTCATTTGTTTACTATTAAAAGTTATGAAAGAAAAATAATTTTATAATAAAATTAACTTAGTTTAAACTAATTCATATTTTTATAAAAAATTGATAAAATATATTGTTTTTCATTGAATCTGTTTAATATATATATATATATATATATATATATATATATATATATATATATATATATATATATATATATATATATATATATACATATATATATTAAACCAATTCAATGAAATATATATATATATATATATATATATATATATATATATATATATATATATATATATATGTATATATATATATATATATATATATATGTATATATATATATATGTATATATATATATATATATATATATATATGTATATATATATATATATATATATATATATATATATATATATATATATATATATATATATATATATATATATATATATATATATATTAAACCAATTCAATGATATATATATATATATATATATATATATATATATATATATATATATATATATATATATATATATATATATATATATATATAGACCAAGTCCAAGTATTTCTTCCAGCAATTTTTTTGGTGTGCAGTCTAGTTTAAAATTAGCACCATATATTCTTTTAAAAAATAAAACCTCATTTTCAAGTTCTTGTGATATTTCTTTTTCATATTTGTGCTGAAAATGTTGAGCAGCCAATACAAGATCTTCGTCATTCAAATTTTTAAACTGCCAGAGAAATCCAAAAAGTTTCCAAATTTCTTGTAAAGACTAAAATTGTCGCGTGAGGCCAGATTTAATTGAGTCAATGATGACAAAATATACATTAATTTTATAATACAACTCAGCATCATCTTGACTTGGAAAATGACGATTAGTTAAAAACTCACATGAAACACCAATATTTCTTGCAACAAATTTTGACTCATTTAAAATCTTATCAAATTGTTCACGCAACCTTTGAATATCATTACATAGATTTTCAATGTTATTCTTTTCAATATCAAGAGTGGCATGGCGTGCCTCGATGATTAGATTTTTCTGATGAATCATTGTGAGTAGCTTCATCCAGATAGACGACATCAAAATGCAATCAAATTTGGAAATATACTTTTGAATAGCATTGAGTTCCATTATAGCCTGGGCTGTTAAATGTAGCACCCCAAGTTCATTTAAAGCACTTCTTACTAAGTTCAAATGTTGTGCAACTGGTTTAACACCATCAATTAGTGCTGACCATCTTGTTTTGGACATTCCATGCAATGAAACAGGAAGATGTTGTTTTAAAATTTCCCACCTTTGAGGACTGCTACTAAATAAATTGTACATTTGCTGAATTGTTCCAAAATACATTACTGCTTCTTTGCATGATTCAGCGCAATCGACACCAACTAAATTTAATGAGTGATTTCTGCAGCTAGAAAACATACAGTTTGGATTTTGTTGTATGAAAACCGCTTGCACCCAGTTATACTTTCCAGCCAAATTAACCTGGTTGTCGTAAGTTTGACCAATGCAGGCTTCGAAATCCAGCTTCAAAGTTTTCAATATTTCTAGTGTTCGAGCAGCGATTTCGCTTCCAGTTTTTTTTGAAAAATTTTCAAATAAAATAAATCTTTCTTCAACTGAAAAATTTGAATTATCTAAAATTTTAACATAACGAATAACCAGAGTAGTTTGCTCCTTGTACAAGCAATCTGGAGTAGCATCAACTATTATTGAAAAATATTTTGCTTTCACAATTTCGTGGAGGATTGCTGTTTGAACGTGTGAACCACAAATATCAATAAATTCGTTCTGAATTCGCATTGAAAGATAATGAGCTTGCATTCGCTGCTTACACTGTTGTGATTCTCGAACATGTTTAACATGCTCAGCTAAAAATGGGTCATATTTGCTAATAAGCTTAATAATACCTAAAAAGTTTCCATTCGCTCGATCACCTATTCATTGGTTAGAACCAAAAAGTGCTAATCCATGTTCAGAAAGAAAAATAATAACATCTAGAATACGTTGGAATAATTTTTTCCAATTTTCAGTTTCAGTCTTGAGTTCTGATAAAAGTAAATTATCCACTGAAGTTTCACATAATGCTGCTCTACTAGCAGATTTCCATACAACATACTTTTCTTTATGGTAAATTGAACTTTCGTGCGACGGAATACGATCTTTCAATCTTCTCCAACCTCTACTGATGCCCCATCCGGCAGAACTAGAGAAAAATGACACATTTGCAGCATTTTTGTTAAAAACATGGTGCACAATACAAAGATTGTTTTTCAACACTCCAGCACAACCAGTCTCTTTTGCATGTTTCTCCATTTGCAAGAGTTTTGTTTAAGAAACGATAAGGAAATGCATGATGATTAGAGTCTTTAACGACATTATTTGGAATTTCAAAACAAGTAATCTTAAGAATAGAGTTCACTTGACAAGAATTGTTCTTGTTGATAATCCCAATGTCAATAAAATTGAACGGATTACCTTGATGAATCGGATCAGTTATTTCTGTTTCTATATATCCAATTTTATTTTCACCTGCATTTTCCTGTAATGAGATTTCAGTTTCAACCTGTTCCTGGTTTATGTTTAAATTTCCTGCTGGTTGTTGTTCCAAAATTGGGTCTTCTGCAATCGGAACAACTATATTTTCAATGTTACCATTGTCACTCACACTTTGAGTTTGGTTTGCTTGTTCAATTTGAACTGTGTTTTGTGATTTTTTTAAAAACAAATATATTTTCTTTGAGTTGGTGCATGCATCTTCGGCCAATTCTTTTCTCTGCCATCTTTTACTTGCACCACTATCAAATCTTCTTTTCATTTTAATGGTATCTGGAAATAATATTGAAATTTGAAAATATAATAAATTTATACATCAATCGAACTTATACAAATTTATAAAATGAATTATGTTTTAAAATTAAAAAATATTTACCAGAACAAAAAAATATTACTATTCTTAAAGTTATGAAATGTAACGTACAAAACGCAATGTACAAAAGCGCAATATATCAATTTTATACAAAATGATAAGAAACAGTTCAAAATAAATTGATTTAATCTTGTTTGATGAGTTACAACTAAAAAATTGAAGAAAAAATGAAGCTACTAGAAAGCAGAACACTAAGTCATAACTTAAAAACTCATACGAGTTAAAAGTAATTGTATCAATTTGATAAAGCGCACCTGATGGAAGGTTAATTGCATCATTACATGACATAATATTTATCATGTTGAATTTAGATTTGGAAATGCGTAATTACGAAAAAGAAATTAATTTATTATTTTAAGTTAACCTAAAGTTAAATTGTTTAGAATAATTAGATTAAAATAACTACTTTGATATTTATTTTCGTGTTTAAATAATGTGTTTTGAAAATGTGAGGCCCCAACAAAATCGGAGGCCCAGGCCATATGGCCCATGTGGCTCCCCCTCTGATATATATATATGGCCTGTATATATATATATATATATATATATATATATATATATAATTTTTTCTAACCTTGGCTATCAACTCCTTCTAAATCTTATAATTTTGCCAGGTCTGGTTTAGTATAAAGTCTTATATTTAACCAGGAGCCAGAGCCAGGGCTCTGGTCACTTACTACGCTTAGCAATGTCAAAGGGTATGAAACAAAAAAAAAACACAATAACAATTTGTTTTTATTGATGCATAAAATAAATTTACTTAGTGATGTGCATAATAATTAACTTGCTTTGTTTATATTACAAAGAATTACAGTTTTAAAAATTATATTCCTTTTATAAATTATTTAAGAAATAAATTGTTTAAAACTATAACATAAGCATCAGGTCACAAAGAATTGCTGTTAAAGAAGTTAAAGAAGGTTGTTTAAAAACAAATTTGTGCATTTATGCTTTTTCATTAAACTCGCATGTAGTTAATTTAAAATGATCAGTCTAAAAACAAAAACAAGCCAAATGTTATCCAGAGTGTTGGCCCTTTTTTAAAAACCATGTTGCAAACCGTTGGAATAAATTATCTCATGATGTAATTGATGTACATACAGTAAACTCTTTTAAAAGTATTTTTATGATGTTATTTCAGCTGTAGCTATGTCAACTGTCAGCATCTGAAAGCCTGGTGTTGCATCCTTCATCAATATTTAACTTTTTATGTATAAGTTTCATTGGTTATTGTAATAAGTAGATAAAAATCTAAGATTTTTAAATTTTCAGCTGCAGTCCCACTAGATGGAAGATCTATCTTTTCAAGCTTTCGGACACTAGACGTTCGTCTATAAAACTAGTTGCAAAATAAACCGCGGAAAACTAATGCTGCTCTAAAGCTGTTGCTTTACCTTTATCAAAACATTGACCCATAATGAGCAGATGACTTTTCATGGCGATAAACAGAATTTTTTGCAAAGCAAATGATGATGGCAAAATAGTTTTTTCCATGAGTTCTCCAAACATAAGCTTTAAGGAAATATCTTTAACTTTGAGCTTTATCATTCTATTTAACAAATTCAATTTAAAATTAGAGTAGTAAAAACTGTTTGGTTAAGATTCTCATTCATCTGGTAAAGCATCAAGATTGGTTAAAATTAAAGCTTGAATTAGAAGACAACTTTATTGAAGTTTTTTTTCATATTAATAGTTTAAAGTAGTCTTTATTTTTCACTTCTGGAAATAATGAATACTTTCTCAACCAAATATACTCAAAGGTTCTATAGCCTATTTTCCAATCTATATGCATTCTAATTTTTTAACCCAATGTCAGTACTTGTCACAGAAAATGAATGACCTTTAGGTAAACTAAAAATGGTTTAAAAAATGATTGTAGAGCCACTATAAAATAAACAATTTTGGAATTGGATACCACTCTGTTGTAAGAAGACATAATAATAATAACAATTTTTGCTAGAAAAAAAAGCAATAAAAAGAGTTTCCGATAATAATTTCAAAGATACTGAGTTATTTAATCCAGATCAGATTCAAATTTTCATAAAAATATAGATGTAAGTTAACAGTATTTGAAATAAAAAGACTAACTTTTATAAATGTATATGCATTAATTTTAAAAATATGCTTATAGGTACTATTTTTAAGATAAATTATTTATGACCTTCTTTCAAAAAAATTGTATTAAAATACATTACAAAATTTAAAATTTATTTTATTAAAGCGCCTAAATATCTTTTTAACCCACCTTTGAAATGTCTAACACCGGGCTTGTAAGTGAACATTACAGAAATATTTTCAATTTTATAATTTAAAGAATTCTTGAATTAATAAACATACAAGCCTCTTCTTTTGGAGATTTTTTTAAAGTGCTTTATACCGTTTTAGTTTCCAAAATAGTTTTATTATATAATTGGATGTCATGTTTGCGATGGTGCTTTTAACATGCTTGGCAAAATGGCAGGCGTGGCTTGTTTACTTTTAAATCAGTTTCCCAATTTATTTTTTATGGCATTTTAGTAATTTTGTCTAAAGTATTTAATGATATTATTCAAAATGTCACAGATAAAGTATTTAATGATATTATGCAAAATGTCACAGATAAAGTATTTAATGATATTATGCAAAATGTCACAGATAAAGTATTTAATGATATTATGCAAAATGTCACAGATAAAGTATTTAATGATATTATGCAAAATGTCACAGATAAAGTATTAAATGATATTATGCAAAATGTCACAGATAAATTAAATATGATTGCTATTCTTTTAATTATAAAGAAACTAATAAATAATTGTTACATTTTTTTTATAAAAGTTTTTTATTGTAGCATATTTTAAATTTTTATTTAGTTTTGTTAAATTACAAGATGAAAAAGAAAACATGTACAAAGAAAACAGGTTCTTTAGAATTAACTTATTTGCTCATAACCTATAGTCAATAAATATAAATAAGTGTGTGCGTATAGTCAATAAATATAAATATGTGTGTGTGTGTTTGTGTGTAGCATGTTGCAATTAATGCTAAATTAGAAACCATTCTTTAAAAGCATTGTAAAATAATAAGTTTGTTTTTCAAAATTAGAATTGCTCAAGAAAAACTAAAAGAAACTGCAGAAAAGCAACTTCAGGTAAGCTTTATTGTAGTTAGTCCAGATTAAAATGTGAAGATTAAAATGTGAAGATTAAAATGTGAAGATTAAAATGTGAAGATTTAAAAGTATACACAATTCTCACATTTATTTTTAGGTTTATGTTGAAAAAGTTAAACAGCTAGAAGCAACTCTGTCGCAATCTAAGGTAAAGAAAATAATGAATATTTATATGTAGAGCTCTTCGGTCAGCTATGCCACGTGCGCAAGTTTTTTTTAAATTTAACTAACTTAATATAAATTTCTTTTTTTTTTCCTGTATATGCTAATTATAATTTGTTATTGTTATTCAAAAAAAAAAAACACAAGATAAATAAAAAGTTTGACATAAGTAGATCTAAAAGACAGTGGTCAGCTACGAAACACGCAAAAAAGCTTTTTTTTTTAACCTATTATTTATATTTTCATAAAATTTTTTTTTTCTTTATTAACAATTATTTTGTCCAAGTTTTATTTATAAAATTTTTTAAATATTTTAATTACAAGTTAAAAATTAAGTTTTTAAAAACCATAAAGTGAGCTACGCATATATCAGCTGCCTAACATGCAAATTTTTATTATAATTTAGATTAAAACATAAAAAAATTTCATACAATATTTATAGCTTTTATTTAGAAATGATAAAAATTGTTTCTACAGTTTATAAAGATCATTTTTAAGATAGTTGGTCTCTTTTAAACTGTCTAGACTTAATGTAAATTTATAAGTTTTTATTTCTTTGTTTTCATGCAATTTTTCGGCAAAAAATTGTTCACTAACAATGCTTCCATCTAAAACTTGAAAGTAATAGCATTTACACAATTCTTTTATTTATTTATTTTTCTTAAAAAAGGTGCTCAAACCAAGAGAGTTGTTTATTTTTAGCTTTTCTTTTTCATTTAGTAATATAACAGTAATTTTTGTTCGCTTGAATCAGAAACTAGCATAAAAGATTTAATTTGACAATGTTAAGCTGCACATGTAAAAATAGAAATCAGATTTCGACTGAAATGAGCTGCTTTGCGTTTCGTTTTGGTACAAACAAGCATAATTTTCTGCCCAGTCAACTTGAATAACAGCCTTATTTGAGTTTTTTTGAATTGCTGATTCTTTATTTAATTTAAATACGGATGATTGACTGCTTTTGACATTACTATGAATAATAAACTTAGCACGCATTTTTTTAATATGTGATAATAAAACTGCAATTGTTCCTTCTTTGTTAACCTTTTCTATTTCAATATAGGAATTTGCTTGAGATTTCTGTCACTAATTTCACAAAAAATCTAACTCAAATCGTTTGAGCTGAAGTAATAGTTTATCAAAAAGACTATAAATGGTACATTCCTTGCAAACGGGATTGAAAAATTGTTTGGTTGGTTTTTCACAAATAAAATTCTGAATCATTAATTTTCCTGTTTTAATTGTAGAAATTGTAGAAAAATTTTTAAGTTTTAATTGTAGAAATTGTAGAAAATACATCTTAACCCCGTTTCTGTTTTAATTGTAGAAATTGTAGAAAATACATCTTAACCCCGCGAAAGTGGTTCAAGAGCATACCACATATTTTTATGTAACATGCCAGCACATGCGTTATGAGGAATTGATGATACACATCGAACATAAATTGGCCTCAACTGACAAATATTATTAGACTTAATTTAATATCTGTACAGTTTAGCTTAAACTCTTTAAAAACTTCTTTTAGCGTCAGATTTGAACACGCACCTTTTTGTCTCCTATCACTACAGAAGTATAATCTGTTGTTCTCGGTGAAAGTCAACTAATTTCATCATCACTATAAGAGTTTTTAATAACCACAAAGACTTTCTCTCTGAAATTGTTGATTTTTAAATTGAGTAAGTTAATGGTTGAGTTTCATTAAGTAAACAACACAACATATCTATCTGATACATACCTTCTTCTAAACAGGACTTTTGGGAAGAAAGCAATTCACTTTTTTCATATACTTTCCTTTAACTTGCACATTTGCAAATGATGACTGATTTGATTCAACAGATGAAGATATGTTCTTTTGCTGCAGTCGAGATTTTCTCATTCTTTCTAAACTTTTTGTTCTTTCAGCTGCAATTTTTCAAAAAATCTTTTTTCCACTTTTGTCTTCGAAGTCTAGCATTTGCATTTGCGTTGTTTTTCTTTTTGTCATAATTTCAATTCATGTAATTTCTTTGATTTAATGCTTTTCTATTTTTTATCTTGATGGCTGTAATAAAAAAAGTAAAACTACAAATAAATTTTAAAATGTTCACACAATGCACACTTTTTTTA